CATTCCTTTGATAGTTAACCCTGGGAAGTTTTCCCACTTCAACTTCCGTGTTAGTACTGGAGCCTATATGTGTGTGTGTGTGTGTATACATATATACATATATACATATATATACACACACACATATACATGTATGTGTATATACATGTAAACATATCACTAGTTCCATCCTGGGTTAATGATCATGTTAAATTGCCCTTTTCCATCGGACTTTATACAAAAAACATGAGCATGTATGTGTACACTAAAAGCCATTTTTTAATAGTTTACTTTTTTTTTTCAGCCACATGATCTGTTCTAGAATTATCTGATCTTCCTACTTGAAAACATGGAACCTTTTATTACTTCTCTTCACCCTATAGTAATTGTGTTCTCGTAGGATTAGATGTTTTAAAGATGACTTTACAGGTCAAGAATTCTTTTTATCTATGTTCCATCTCATTACTATGGTTCTTTTAAAGCTAAAACTCATTTTAAGTGATATCAGATAGAATAGTCCTAAAAAAAATTTTTTTAGGAGTTGTCAGCCATCATAGGAACCTATTTCAGGCTCCTGATTTTGCTGAAAATTGCTTCATTTGAGTTAAATATGTGCAACACAAAACATGACAGTCCTACATGCCCCCATTGGTAGCAGGGTTTTTTCCTCCCCAGGACCATCCACACAACAGTATTGCTGACCATGGAGGAGATCTCCAGGGTACACATATACATATAGTAGGATGGCAGGCCTGAGTAGTTTATCTTCTTGTAACAATAATGGTTGCTGGGGACAGGAATCACTTTTCTTTACTGGGCTTATTATCAATAAAATATAGTCATTGTGGTCAAGCTCTCTGAATGGGAAAATAACAAGGGAGTTAACATTTTGGCAGCATTCTATCATGCTTCTACTTGTCCAGGATTGCTACTTACCTTTGACACCAAGCAATTAAGGGATAAGTGGTCATTGAGCATCTGCCGACTGCCCAGTACTGAATGAAGCAACATGGAGATTACTAGAGAAGACATCACTTGATCAGCTATAAAAAGGAGTTAGATTAGGTCATCTCTAACAGGGTTTTTTTAGTCTGGGATCCACATACCTCCTGATAGAGTCCATGGATAGATTTCAGGGGGTCCGTGAACTTAGATGAGAAACAAATTCCATCTTTATTTTTCACTAACCTTTAACTGAAATTTATCATTTCCTTCAATTGTTTAAAAATGTAATTCTGAGAAGGCGTCCCTTAGTTTCACCAGACTATCAAAAGGGGTCCAGGACACAAAAGTAGCTAAGAACCCCTGGTCTATAAAGTCTCTGCCATCTCTTTGAGCTCTGTGATACCACCTCTGAAGTTTTAGCTGAGTTGAGTCAGGACTAACACAGAGAAATGAAAATTATCATGAGTTCATTGATCACCACGTCCAGTGGGTATTAATTATCAGATAATGGTGATACAATTACATTTGAAGAGCACCCTAGAGGTTTTAAAACATTTTCACAAACATCTAGTTTGATGAAAAGTGATGTAGCAATAGACTTGGGAATGTGGTATAAAGAGCATTCAAAGGAAGTGGAGTCAGAGAACCTGTATTTGAATCCTGATTCTGCTCCTGTGTGACGTTGTGTGACCTGGGGCATGTGCACATCTCTCTGGACCTCTTTCCTAATCTGTAAAATGAAGGGTTAGGACCTAGCAATCTCTAAGGTCCCTTCCAAATCTCCAATCACGTGCAGCGGGCATTGCACTAGATGCCCTAGTCCATTCAGTTTTAGATAGGCTTAAAATTCTAGTCCCTAGTAGTAACATGGTGACTAGATATTGAAGTCCTACTAAGTGAAGACTATCAGGCCAGATGTGTGAGGAAAGGGTTAAAGTTAGTAGAGAAGTCAAAATCTTGCCTTGGAAAAACAGTGAGTCATTTAGGAGTGTGAAAAGTTTAAAATCCAAGAGACTCTTTTAATAGGATACTTGTCTTATGAAAGTAAATCAGCCATGCGATCAAAGTAGAAAAATTCAGGGATATTGGTTCTTTAGAATGCTTGCATTCAGGTTACTGAATCAACTATACAGTTGGGTAATTTGTCACACTGACAAATTACTACTGTGTTCTTAAGGAGTTTGTGGTACTACCTGAGACTGAATTTACAGAAAACTAGGTACATTGTACACAAACAATTATATCTTTGTGAAAATTTGGGTATAATTTTGGCAGGGTTTTTTTTTTAAGAGCCCAGCTGTATTTTGTATAAATATGTATAGTATATAGTAGAGAAATGCAAACATGTAGCTTCTTGAAGTACTGTCATTTTAAACACAAAAAGCATGTTAAGCTGTTGTTCTCAGGTGATGGTATCTGACTTTCAGCTCCACCCCTCTCTGCTGTTTTCGAATGCGGTCAACTCTTAACCATCCTAGCCATTGACATTGGTGCAGTCAGAAAGAACGATGATAACTGAAATTTTGAGCTAATTCTAAACTCTCGTATTGAATACCTTCTTTGTGTCCAACACCAAGTTAGATTTTTGGAAAAGTAGGGAAGAGCCAATTGCCTTGGGGAAGCTTACAACTAGCTGGGGAACCTGAATAAATTGGTGTGTAAGGCAACAGTAGGCACCCCAGCTTGTTGGGCACAGATTGAAATTGTTTCACGTTCAATCTATGGCACTTTATGTGTTAAAAGTCTCATATGATCTCTTTCTGCATTCCCTGCTGCCACCTTTCATCACTGTTTACTTGGGTACCACAAAGCAGAGGCAGCTGCTGTTTCTCTTATTGCCTCTTTTATTTCTGATGATTTCAAATTTACCAGTGAATGTTTCCCAAGACGTGATCATCAACGTCTCTTCTCCCTTGGAGCCATCTTGAGAAAGTAAGCCTTTTGGCAGCTTCTTTCTTTAGCCATATCTTCTTTCTGAGAATTCTCATCAGATTATCATTGTTTTGAGGAGGGAGAGTATCTCTTTCTGTGCTAAAGGCCTATTGATGTTGCTACAATGCTGTCTATCACAAAAGGCAGCTTAGAAAACTACCTTAAATGTTTCCCAGTGTGCCATATTTGGTTTGTTTCACTATGGAAAATTTCCTTGCTGATATTTGTAAATGTAAGATAAAAGTACAGTACATTTTCTGTAAACTGTGAGTGACTTCTAGATACACCTAATTCTGAGCCCTATTTCTGTATGTTTATTAAAAGATGTATTTTTACAAACTTTTGCACTGATTCTAGTTCTTTAATGTTTAAATGTGAATGTTGGAGAACACTTGAATAAATATGGTCTCCCCAGTATGCTTGGCTTAATGTTAAAGACACAACAAGTCAGGATCAATATCAATGGATCTCAATCTACTGATGGGGACCATATTGTGCATGGTGGGAAAGTTTTCATAATCCAGTGATTTGGAGGATTAGGTTACTAGGAGATATTTATTGTGAAGGGGCTCCCAAAGCAAAGCTGGTAAGGATTCAAGCTGAAGGTGGTTTACCTTGTAACCCATATCCACCAAGAGCTTTGTCTCATTGACTGCATCTTTACTGGACATATTAACAGCAAATTGGCCAATCATCTGCAGCTGTTCAGCATGTTTCTCTCTTTTGAAACAGCCTTCCTCTGTGATTAATATCTAGGATGTATTTGTATTCTCAATACTTAGCATAATGCCTACCTGACACCTATAAGTACTAATAAATTTTCATTCATTCATAGTGATTTAGGGAAAATTCTCCAGGTTCTACCATAGCCTATGTAAAATATTCTATAAGATCAACTCCATTATGATTTCAGGATTATCAAACAACCTTAATGTTTTTAATATTAATTTAACTAATATTAATAATTCTGTCTCTCAGAATTAAGCAATCAGGATTACTCAAGAAAGGTGTGATTGGCATTTTTGCCCTCACATACGACTCATTGAAGCAATTAAAAAAACACAAACTTTAGTAGATGACCTTTGTTTTCACATTGAGATGGTTCCATGTAATATAAAATGAACGTTCACCTATCAAAGCCAGAGTTCTAGGATCCAGTGTGAGGAAGGTGACTCAAGTGCAGATGAGGCATGGTTTGAGAGTGGCTGAGAACTACAGACCTTCCCAGTAGCCGGAATACTTGTGTTCATCATGTTCCCATTCAAATATGAGTGCTTCAGATGGACAGGCAGCACGTTCCTCTTCTGCTTGTATCTCCTTGCTTAGCACATAGCAGGGGGAACCATCCAGTAGACTTTTACCTTGCCACTGGACTTTGATGATGAGGAGAGAATGAAGTTGATGACTTTTCAAAGCTCTGCCTCACTTAAATCCAATTCCCTTGCAAGTCAAGAGGTCACCCTTGTGATGTCATTGGTCCTCTCTGAGAACAAAGGATCAACAACAACATAGAAGCACCTAATAAGTGCTTTGTTCATTCATTCAACATCCAGATATTCTGGATAGAATCTACTCTGTACCCCAGATTGAACCCTCCCTTGTAACACAGCAAAACGGTGAAACATAAACAACCGATACAATGACATCTGACAGTGCGTACAAAATTCTGCCTTTCCAAGCCTCCTTCTCTGTAAAGGGAGGGGAGTATGTTTTAATTTTTCTTCAGGACCTATTCCCTTTTTCAGTTATTCAGAGCTTAACTTACTTTTAGTAATCTTTTTCATTTCCATTGTTATATTCATTATATGTGCATTGTTCTTCTATCAGCTTATTTCACCTGTACCAGTTCATACAAACTTGCCCATCTTCTGAGTTTCCTAAATTCTACGTGCACTTCTTTGGGAAGATACACTGGATGGCAGAGCTCTCTCTGAGGTAATAGAGGCTAGGCATGGCATTTCAGGCTGTGTGTCATGGGATGACTGTGTCTTTTGGAATCATCAACACTCCGTGTTCTATTGGATGATTACTTATGTCAAAATGCAAAAAGGAGAAATACAACTTTCCAGTGACCTGAATATCTTGATTAATTATCAAGATACTTGAGAGACTGAATTAGTAATATTAA